AAAAATAAAAAAGAAAGTGTAAAAATGCACACTTTACATAAATGTGTGGACGACTATGAATGTGCTTTTATATACATATTTGGAGGCGAAACTTCGAGTGCGTGTTCGAGGGTAGGTGTCCGCGCGAAATAGTTTTGCTTAAAGAAAATGTTCCACAATTCCCTAAGCATGCATGCAAAATACATATATCTGTAGGGGAGTTTTTTTCTTAATGCGGGGGATTCTTTGATTTTTCATATTAATGCTAAGCTCGGGAATTGAGCGTTGAGTACTATAGAGAGTTGAACTGTTATTCGAAATCTCGTAACTTTTAAATTCTAACGAGTACTTAATGTTTATAAATATTTTATGATTGAGTAGGCCGTTTTATATATGTAGATTCAGTGACGTGAAACACCTTTAAATATGTAAAATGCAGTGTCCGAATTTGGAATACTGCGCCTCAAAATATGCCACAAAAATTAGATTTTAAATGTTAAAGAAATGCACAAATATTTAAAAAATTATTTTCTAGCGGCATATTTGTCCAAGGGGACAATAGTGATGCGCTGAGTTTTTTGATTTTGTTAGAATAGAACTGTAAGTTTGGTTTCGATTGTATTTCGTGATTATTATTTTTTTTTTGTAGCAGCGTGTAACTAGAGTGCCTAAAAGCACGCTACGTAAGACGCTCAAGCAAATTTTTGTTCGTCAATACCCATTTCAATTTTCAATGTTGGTCTTAAAATGCGCCCCAATTGGAGGGCCGGAAAAAGGGCAAATTTTCGGTATGCAAAATAGTTTCAGTTCTCCACTTGAGAAAAGCTTAGATATCAATTTGAATTCAAACTTTATTCAACATTTAATCAAATCTTGAAAAAAATGTTGGGAAAGTATTGTAGTTCCATTTAGGAATAAGAATTTCTTAAAGATTGGGAAAACATTGGAAAAGTTTGCTTTGTGCATATTAACTGTCCAAAGTTATGCCGTGATATACATACATAAAAAAATAAAAAAAATAATATTCCGTCGAATTGGTAACCTGCTCCTTTTTTTGAAGTCGCTTACTAAAGGTAAAAATTATAATGAAATTCTTTTGATTTCATTTACGCAAGGAAATATATTGACGTTTTATTATTATTATATTCAGCTTTGGGCCCCTTTAATCGCAAGACTTTGCGCCATTACCAATGCAAGCAGCGTAAGCCATTAGGTGAGGCAGCGTATTCTGCTGCAAGACGCCAGTGAAGAGATGGGCATGTGGCCCCGATGCGTATACGCCCACATCGTCACCAGCATGTACGCCTCTCGAGCCTTTAATATAACTTGGAAAAGTAAAATCTGCAGAAAATAAAGCAAAACCAAAATTTACATTTCAGGACAACCAACCGAAATAAGACATCTACCTGGAGTGTCAGCAAATTTTCCTTCCAATTCAATGCGATTGCCATTCTCATCCAAGTACTGCTCAGTGCCAACAGCGTAATTTAATGTGGCATAATGTACGCCATTCACATCGTAACCAATCTCATTTAAGCCTAAAATATCATTTCCACGCTCAGGATAGCCGGAGATGCTGAGCGGATGTGCATGGTCGGCCGTCACTACGATGAGTGTGTCCTCGGTGCTGGTTACGTTGCGCGCCAACTCCACAGCCTTCTCGAATTCTATTGTCTCATCCA